CACAACCTTAAGTTTGCTTTGTGGTCAAAAAGAACACCAATAATATTGAATTCATTTAAGTGTAAACAGTTGATTACTACTATATACATAACTTGTTTTGATGCCTCAGAAATGTTCAGTTGAGCAAACACACCACAATAAATGTACCTTTCTCACTCCTAGGCACACACACACATATTTGACACACATTGTGCCCTCTGTCTTTGACTTGATCTGGAACAGCTGACTGTCATGCCTTATGTCCGAAACACCCTTAAATTGAAGGTAAATAACCAAACCCTCTGTGCGCATCAACACCATATTTCAAGGGCACTTAGGCTTGTTCTCTAAGGGCCATTTATCATAGTCCAATAAAAATGGGGGCTTGGTTTCTTTGCAACTGTGTGTCTAGGCTGCTGAAGCCAAAAGAAACCATTCTCCCCCAAAACCTCAATTCTGGCAGTCCGTCTATGCTCAATATAAAGACACATGCTATCTTGTATTTGGACTATGCAGTAATACTTGACATTACTATTATTTTAACTTTGCACATAAATCTGTCCTGACAACCTTGCACAGATTGAGTTGGAAATACAATTAGACGCAGAGACACAGGCCTCTGTCCTCACCACACATGCTACTGCCAGAAATGTGTGAATATTAAAAGTATGCAGGATGTAAGGAACCCAGTGTGGTAAATTTGGTTGGAGATAATTTATGTTTTCCCTGAAAAAATAAAATAAAAAATGTATGTGTGGCATCTGGCAAATGAATAAATGTGTACTTGAAGAAACTCATACAGGTTTGCAACAACTTGAGGGTGAGTAAATGATGACAGAATATTCATTTTTGGGCGTAGTATCCCTTTAGGTTGTCAGTTTATGTTTTTCATCTAATATTTGTATTTTATTTCATCTTATTTCAGTTACTGAACTATTTTGGTAGTTTATATAAGAATAACACTGTTTACAATAAGTTTGCATTTATTATTATTAGTGCATGTGTGTGCAATGAACAACTTTTTTAAAATGTTACTGCAGGGTTGGGTGAAGGCATGAGTAATGCAGAAGTTAATGGCTTTTTTATTAAAATAATAAATACAAACCAAAAACAAACAAGACAAGACAAGACAGGGGTGTCTGGGCTCTGTCATAAACCTAAGAAATAAACTAGACCAAAGTGACAGAACCCTGACAGTTAATTTAAATGAAACATGATTTAAAATAATAAATATTGTTAATTGACTTATTTAATTTAACTTTAAATGTTAAAAGTGTATATGTAGAAATGAAATGAACCTAAATGAATGCTTCAATTTTAGTTTTTGATACACAATTCATAAACTGGTGTCAGCAAGCTGAACCTTTTTGTAAAGCATACACATTGTCACATTTAGTTTAGGGTCCAATTCTCACTATTAAAGGAGTAGTTCACTTTAAAAAAAAAAATTGCTGATAATTTACTCACCCCCATGTCATCCAAAATGTCCTTATCTTTCTTTCTTCAGTCGAAAAGAAATTAAGGTTTTTGATGAAAACAGTCCAGATGGTTCAAGGTCCAGTGCAGTGCAGCTTTAAACGACACCAGACGATGAATAAGGGTCTTATCTAGCGAAACGATCGCTCATTTAAAAAAAATAATCATTTAAAAAGTTTAAGTTTTATAAGCACAAATGCTCGCCTTGCTCTGTTCTGTGATGAGCGTTTGTGACTCTCCTGTTCAAACTCTTTCATCAAAATGAACAAATCTTTTTTCGAGTCATGACTCGAAGGGTCCTAGATTAGACCCTTATTCATCGTCTGGTGTCGTTCAAAGCCCTTTGAACCTGTACTGAAACTTTCATTTGGACCTTGAACCGTTTGGTTCCCAATGAAGTCCATTATATGGAGAAAATCCTGGAATGCTTTCATCAAAAACCTTAATTCCTTTTTGACTGAAGAAAGAAAGACGTGCATCTTGGATGACATCGGGGTGAGTAAATTATCAGCATAAGTTTTTTTAAAAGTGAACTACTCCTTTAACTATGACTTTTGCCACAATAAACTCCTGCTTATTAATAGTTAGTAAGGTAGTTGTTAAGTTTAGGTATCAGGTACGGATGTAGAATATGATGATGCAGAATAAGGCATTAACATAAGCTGTATTAGTCCTAATAAACAGCCAATGTCCTTGTAATATGCATGCTAATAAGCAACAAGTTAATAGTAAGAATTGGACCTTAAACCAAAGTGTAATATGTCTGTGAGTGTGAATACATGAATAATAATAGAATAAGTAGACTTTAAATGATGGACATGTCCTTTTAAGCCTGTAAAATTTAACTATCCATTTTACAGTTGTCTGCTAAACGATGCAGGACTAATCCGAAATACTTGTGTTAGGACATTAGTCTACAGTGACCAATGAGATTAGTTTGGCTTGAGTTACACCCTAAAGTGTTCCAAATGACTTCCCATTACATAGTGTAATAAGAACACACACAGTTGCTCTCATATTGCTGTCTATCACTGATGGTGTTACAGAACGTGGTGGTAGGAAGGATGAATAGGAAACAGGGTTTTAATAAGGAAACTAAACAGGAACCACAACACACGCTTAACTATAAACGAGAACCGACCAAGACTGACTGAACAGAAGGAGGCTAAATACAGATACCAATGAACAATGACGAGGTGAACACATGTGACACAGATGATGATGACGATAAACAGGTGGGTAATGAGGGAGTGAGTTCAGGTGTGGAGACAAGGAGGATTCTGGGAAGAAGACAGGATGGTGCAGACGATGACTGTAACATATGGAGCATTCTGTTTGCGTTATAATTATACTTGCTCATGGTACTGCTGTTACAACCGTTGACTTCTTAATTCAACTCGGCCCTGATTTTTGATGCACAGTGACATGTTAGCATATACTTGGCAGGTAACGTCATCCATAATGTGTTGAGGAATGGATGTGTGAAAACTTGGATGACCCATGTGGTTTGGTTGTCAATGAAGTTATTCCTAAGATGTACACAAACAGGCTGGTCATATTTTTAACACTTCTGCTTGTTTATACCATATATTATTTTGACAAGAACTCGCTTGGGTGGTCACATAGCTGATCAAGAAATATGCCTCAAGCATTTTGATGGTATGACATATTCAGGCTACATTTCATGTTGCACAAGAAGAATTTTGCGCAACACACTGTGTAAAGAACGACCAGGTAAAACACACTAGCATAATTGAAATAGCTAAACCTTTTTTATTGTTTGAGCATATATGAAGGACAGTAGATTGGACAAGTTTTGCATGGTAGTTAACAGAAGCCCCAGATCACTTCAGACAGCATTATGGCCCCTGTCCTGAATACACAGAGGAACTGTAACAAAGGCCTCTCATGATAGTATTACAGTGCCTGGCATCCGGCTGCACGTTTATGAACTACAGGCAACCGAGTAGTTGACCAAAATAAATGTCATGTGTGTGTTCCATTTACTTAGAGCTTTTCCCCCCAGTTTCTTTTCATCATCCTGAATAAACAGAGCAGGGCCCCAAGAGCATCATGGTCTGTTAAATCCTTTCTAAGCAGCACCCACCCCCCCACCCCACCTGCCACCCTGTAACCTGAGTATGGCAACAGAGCGTGCCCGAAGCGGGGAGGGGAACTAGGAATCATTAGGAATAGGCTATTACGTCTTCAGGCCAATACAGGTGCATGACTTTTTGATTTAACAGCCACTTGACAGATAACAAATAGGCATAATTACAGGTCAAGTGTACTTTCTTAAACTAAAAAGTCAGCTAAAAGTATATAGCAAACTAATAGTATACCTAAGGCCGTGTGTCCACCAAAGCGTTTTTCCATGCGCCTGACGTATGTTTTCAATGGGAGCGCTGCATTTTTAAAAGACATGAGCTTAAAGGCCCTTTCATACAGGATGCGGAATGCGCTGCACTATGAAAGACATTAATTTCAATGGCTTGCGCCGCGCAATGACGTTTTGTTACTGCGTCGACCAAAGCTCAAGCGCAGCGGTGTGCACGATTGACATCCTCGCGCACACGCCATGGTCAAAGTTCAAAATAGTTCAACGTAGTGACGATAGTGACGATTACCAGCGTGGCCAATAGAAACGAGGCATCCTCCAAACAAGCACGGAAATCAAAATGGATGAACTGCAAGTGGTGTGTTGGAATTCCCTGAGGTGTACGTTACAAGTTTGAGGTTGTATAGGGACAAATAACTAACGTTATTAAAGGGATAGTTCACTTTGAAATTAATTTTTGATATGTTTTAGCTTACCTCAAGGGCATCCAAGATGTTGGTGTCTTTGTTTTGTTAAACCGTTGTTGTCTGTCAGTCCTATAACGCAGTTTTAGGGGGTCCACCTCAAAGAGCATGTACAGAGAAGTCAAAATGAAACATGATTTAATGACTCATGAATGTAAGTACACACTGATGGCCTAAGACACGAAACGAACAGTTTGTGTGAGAAAACGAACAGTATTAATATAGTTTTTACCTCATGTTAATAGCCGTCGAACTGATCTGAATCAGAAGTCCAACTGAACCGAATTGAACCGTCCCCAGATGTTACGCCGGAAGTGATCTATCCCAGCAAGCAATTTTGCGTCTAAAAGACGTCTAATAGCCGTCAAAACATAGCCCAGACGTCTAGGCTAAATCAAGGCAAAATTTGGGCTGTCAGTGAAAATCTAATAGACGTCTAACCATAGCCCAAGAATAGACGTCCAACCATAGCCCAAGAATAGACTATAGTCAACAATTAGACGGCTATTGAACGACTACATTTATACGTCTAATAGACAGTGCATATGGGTCTAGGCTAAAACAAGGCTAAATTTGGGCTGTCAGTGAAAATCTAATAGACGTCTAAATGTAGCCCAAGAATAGACTAGTCATCAATTAGACAACTATTAAACGACTACATATACATACAATAGACAACAAAATGGCTAAAAGATTCTTTTCACTCAAATATTCTCATAAATGACAAGCCATCCAAAAAAATATACATATATAAAAGGCTTTATTTAGCAAAAGAACAACATTACGTAACTTCAAGACATAAAAATTACCAAAACAAATATTAAAATTAAAAATATAAAATTATTTTAACATGAACAACTTAAGATAATAAAATAGAAAAATCTGTTGCTGCGGGGAAGTTGGTCATCACAGCATCTGCCAAATAAGAATAAAATAATTAGCACAAGAAAAGCATTGTTGAAAGTACCTGTACGTTTTGTGTGTGTGTGTGTGTGTGTGTGTGTGTGTGTGTTCTGTTTAGGTTTTAATGCACATCTGAGCTATTTGCATTATTGATATACTGCCGGATACTTTTTAGATTTGCTTATTTTATATAGCCAATCATTTGTATTTTTTTATGCTGTATTATAAAATTAATTTGAAAGTTTCAAACTTGAATTAATGAGGGCATTTTGAATGAAACCTCATCTTATTGGGCTTGTACAATAACAAACATTATTCTACTCTATTAGCTTATGCTCTCTAACAAGCCAATGTTCAGACAAATTCAATTTTATAATTTATATCAATGAAGGACTTTGTCAAAGATGAGAGATTTAGTGAGGAAATGCTATTTTCATATCACAATGATCTAAAGAAAAGAGTCAAATATAAGTGTGGTTTTCATAACACTTTATAATAGGTTGCATGCGTCTTATGTTTAGCTACAGCTTTGGATTCAGTAACGTTAGGCCTAAGTTACACGTGCATGTACCATGATACACTGTTACCCGCTAAAATGTCACGATTGCAACAACACATGATAACAAATAATTTATCTAAAAAATTAACACGTCAAAATGAAAACACAGATGCTTACAAGACAAAAGTGGGAATGTATTTTACCTGTTGTCGTCGACCGTCAGCTGAATGCATGCAATGCTCTGCCTCGTTTAAAATATTTGAAAATGGTCGATCGCGTGACCGGTGATCTGTGCTATCAAGTCTCGCGTTGTCAGCATGTCTCAGTAGGGATGTTGCCATCTAGCGGTTGAGAAATGTAATTGCGTTTTTATTTAATTTAAAATGAAAGACAGTCAAATAAAACCGTAGATTTTTTTTTTATTAATGTGTGACTGTGACAGTAAACATGAAGCTGCGTGGGTGAAAAACAAGTAAACAATTTTAAGATTTTATTTTGGCTATACTAATCGCTGGTCTAAATCAGGGCTATAGCCAAGCCGTTAAACTTAGACCACTGATTGCCTCGATTTCGCCGGTGGGCTAAAAGCAGACTGTACATAGCCCATCCAATTCAGAGCTAAATCATGACTACAGATCGACCATGTCATGATATGACACTGGCACCTTGTAGATATGTTTACCAATAAGAACATGATGGGATATATCAACCATCTCATGCGTTGCCTGCCCAACAATTCATTAAAACGACAATTAATCAGTTTCGACTAGAAGTGGGCTATAAATAGCCGGGCAGACTATACGAGCTAGATCGCGTCTACACACAGCCTACACATAGAAAATGTCAAAGAAATCAAACCAAACACCTTGTAATCACAGTTGACTTTGCTTACATGATGGAATATAATACATTTTGCAAGTTATTTTGGAAAAAATTACATTTAGCCATGATTCAATGTTATTTTGGCTAGAAGTGGGTTACACATAACGTTAGCCGGACTATATCGGGTCTATATTTAACCTAGACGGTGAAATGAGGGCTATTGCTTGCTGGGAAGTTACACGTGCATGTACCATGAAACACTGTTACCCGCTAAAATGTCACGATTGCAACAACACATGATAACAAATAATTTATCTAAAAAATTAACACGTCAAAATGAAAACACAGATGCTTACAAGACAAAAGTGGGAATGTATTTTACCTGTTGTCGTCGACCGTCAGCTGAATGCATGCAATGCTCTGCCTCGTTTATGGACGATCGCGTGACCGGTGATCTGTGCTATCAAGTCTCGCGTTGTCAGCATGTCTCAGTAGGGCTGTTGCCATCTAGCGGTTGAGAAATGTAATTGCATTTTTATTTAATTTAAAATGAAAGACAGTCAAATAAAACCGTAGATTTTTTTTATTAATGTGTGACTGTGACAGCAAACATGAAGCTGCGTGGGTGAAAAACAAGTAAACAATTTTAAGATTTTATTTTGGCTATACTAATCGCTGGTCTAAATCAGGGCTATAGCCAAGCCGTTAAACGTAGACCACTGATTGCCTCGATTTCGCCGGTGGGCTAAAAGCAGACTGTACATAACTCATGCAATTCAGATCTAAATCGTGACTACAGATCGACCATGTCATGATATGACACTGGCACCTTATGTTTAACAATGCGAACATGATGGGATATCAACCATCATGCGTTGCCTGCCCAACAATTCATTAAAACGACAATTAATCAGTTTCGACTAGAAGTGGGCTATAAATAGCCGGGCAGACTATACGAGCTAGATCGCGTCTACACACAGCCTACACATAGAAAATGTCAAAGAAATCAAACCAAACACCTTGTAATCACAGTTGACTTTGCTTACATGATGGAATATAATACATTTTGCAAGTTATTTTTGAAAAAATTACATTTAGCCATGATTCAATGTTATTTTGGCTAGAAGTGGGTTACACATAGCCGGACTATATCGGGTCTATATATTTAACCTAGACGGTGAAATGAGGGCTATTGCTTGCTGGGATCGCACGTCTACGTCACGCATTGTTTACACGGAGATTTTGGAACTTTTACCTTTCACTAAACATATTTAGATATATTGAAATCGTCTTCCATTGCGATTTCCCGTATATCTAAATATGTTTAGTTGAAGAAAATGCATCCATACATCATAAATGTAATTCGTTTGGCTCCAGGTGTCAAGGAAGTATAGAGGATAGAGTAAAACAAAACACCGGTCACAAATTAGAAGTCTAAAACGAGAATTTTTAAAGAGAAGGTTCCGTATTTCGGTATAAAAGAAAAGATGAGCTTGAGTTTGTTGCCCAGCCCAATTAGTTTGAACCGTGAAAGGCATCTAAGCTTACACTACCCCTACATTCTATGCCACGCATCGGGTCAGAGGTCACTCTTCCGCCATTACCAGAAGCCAGTGATTATAGTTTTCTCACAAACACATTGCTCTACTCTGGAGCCATGGGGATTACTTGGATGCACTTTTTTCCCATTATAAAGCTTGGAAGAGCCAGGATATGTTTTATGATGACTCCAATTGTGTTTGGCGCTCCAATGGTGGTTTACTGATTAACTAATAGTGAACTAACTCATTCAACTGAGCGATATTAATCACTTATTAATGAATTAGAGTTTCTTGTAGTTTAATAGTAGTTACTAGAGTGTTCATTTTGTGTTACACATTTGTTCCTGTATTATTCATTAATGTCAGAACAGTAGTCTAAAGTGTTACCTATAAAATGTGTTACCTATAAAAGGTCAATGTGAGTAAATGATCACGATTGTCTTTTTTTTTACTATTCCTTAAACATTGAATTTTTTTTTGTAAGGAGCAGACTCGGTTAAATGAGGTGGTGTGTTCTGTTTTTCTGTGATATTAGGAGAGGGTAATCTGTTCTGCCCTTTTCACCTGCTTTTGCACTGTGTAAACCTGAGCAAAAAAAAGTTGTCAAATACTTGTTTTATTGGCAGGCCGATGATTCTGCAAGTATACTGCAGACATTATGAAAGTTGAGCAAATTTGGGGTGAATGACAAGGCGCTATTGCTGGTACTGCACTGTGAAACGTCTGAGAGATGAATGCCAATGAGTGTTATGTCAGGTGTACAGGCTGGAGCCAAATCTTTGCGTTCATGGAAATGGGCCAAATAGTACAGAGAGAAAAAACCTTCCTGAAATGACAGAGATAATAATTCAAGAGAGCATTTATAGCAATTCCCAATGTGATTAATTATCAGCAGGTTTAGGGTGGAGGCAGTATGATTTATTTTATAAAGATATAATTTTGTCGGAAATCACTCCATTTTTCAGGCAACGCATTTCATATTTTTAATGGAACCAGACATATTTTCATAATCTGGATCATTATTACAATGACTATTGTTGGGTTTGGTGTAGTTTACAGTTTAGTTGTAATTTTAGTCAGAGGATGATTTGTTTCTCTTCATTTATTAATATTTCTTAAAGAGAAATATTGTGATCTCACTTTTAAAAGGTGACTTGACTCTTTGAAGTAAACATAAAAAGAAATACATCCAAATTCACAAGTAATGTTATAATATCGTTCTTTGATACGTACAGCAAATCTCTGAAAGATTACTGCTATGATGCGTCAGTATCAAAAAGAGTATCAATATGCATCAATGTTTGCCTGTGAGTACAAATTAAACTGAGAACATTTAAGCTTGAAAGAGATTTTTAATAGACATTTCAAACTGTTTAAATGTTGTCTTTTCTAGGAAGCTGGCAAGTACAGGAAAGGAACTCAAAGATAACTTCCTGAGAGCCCTGGCGGAGCGGGAGGAGGCTAACCGCAGTGGGAAAATGACTGTGAGTACATTATTACTGCACTCCATTTGCTACGTAATGGGATTCCCCCAGCATATTTCTGCAATTCCATTAGGACGGGAACACAATCCACACTGTGTCAAATTTAAGAGGAGAACCCCCCTTCGCTCTCACACCTTGCCATATTGCCACCTCAGCCTTCTTTCTCAGAGAGGACAGACCCTGCACAGAAGTATAATCAACATGTGTGTATATGCTGTGTTTGTAGACTACAGAGCTCTACATAATGATCCACACTATGTGTAATAACAAAACATGCGTTTATCTTGAGCTTCTATCATTACACATTAACACTTGGAATTTAGAAATGTGTGTAAACTTTTGGGGATGCTGGTGAAAGTTTAGAAGTTCAGCACCTCTGGACTTGCCAGCTTCCTGTTGATCAATAAGTATTTTCTGGTGTGAGGAAATGGGTTTAGATGATCTGGAAGAGATGGTTTTCATATTCCTTAACACCAGGCAAAATCAGATAACTTTCTAGCATATAGAACATCTAGTGTTCTGCTGTACAACGTATGTCATAGTATATTAAAGAACAACAAGTTTGTGGTTTGTAAGCAGAGGTCAGATTTAAACATTTGGGTCTTGAGCTTTGATTTATGACTTCAATTTATTATTATTTGATTAGGCAATCATTACATTTGTTTTATTGGTACAAATTGGAAAAATACAATATTTACCCCCATAAAACCATTTTACTGTGGTAGTTTTTTTATTTATTATTGTTACAGGTCGAGATTGACTTTGTTTCGAGTTATTGTTTATTTTTAAGTATTCTTTTCACTCATCCAAGCAGCTTCATTGGATAAACAATAACAGTCCAGTTGTTTTTGACTGACACGAAATTAATGAAATGCTCCGGCTGTATTGATTATACCTGTAAGATCTGTTACAATTAAAAAAAACAAAAAAAAAAACTGACAGTCCATGTACTGCAAACTATGCCCACAGTGACAGTTTGATTTGGAGCCTTCAATATCCCATGTGGACATCCGATCACCATATGTCATGGCCCTGTGTTCTGAATTCCCTAATAGATGAGACTACTGTCCAAAACAGCCTTGTTTTATTTAATAAATCTGGAATGAAAAAACATTGTGTTTGGGCATTTCACCTCAGATACAGAAGAAGTTTATTATAATGGCTTCATGAATCAAAAAGTGGAAGTGTTACAGAATTCTAATAAATCTGTGTCAGTGCAACTTAAGACCAGAGAAATAAATGAAAATGGAATGTAAACTCCAGTTATATTTGTTCTGGCCAGCCTGGAGACTAAGGGCCCTATTTTAATGATCTGAAAGGCAAGTATCAATCACGAAGCACAAGTAACTTTGTGGGCGGGTCTTGGGCGCTGTTGCTATTTTACCGGTGGGATAAATGACTCTTGCGCCTGACGCTAGTTTAAAAGGGGTTGGTCTGAAATAGCTTTATTATTCATATGTGTGGTTTGGGCGTAACATGAAATAAACCAATCAGAGCGTCAATAAAGTTCTGAAAGGTTGAAACGTGTTCGAAAACTCAAAATCTTA